GGCAGGCAGGGACCTTTATGTGTTACTGTCACAGTGCCTACTGGGGACCTTATATTCTTTTTCTACCCTATCAGTGAGGTGAGATTGGTGGCGGCGGTGTTTTTTTGTTTGTTTGTTTTAACACTCTTAAATTTTCTTTCCTGAGAATTCAGTGTCCTTGACCTCAACAAATGAACTGAGAACCCTGAACCCGGGGAGATAAACGAAGCAAACTTGTCAGGAATATAAATGCGGCTGCAGCAGTTCCCTATCGGCAGACCCCACGCAACGGGCAAGAAAGGCACGGCAAAGGCGACGCAACCTACGCGTGTCCAAGAGAACGCAAAATTGGACAGGGCACGCTCCCTCCGCCATGCATCGTCCCCTCCCTCCCGGGCCAGGAGCAGGTGACCAGGACTTCATCACTAGAGCTGCTGCACCAACCGAATATGTGCAGGGCGATATGGATCCCCTGGATTTAGGGGAGACAATTAATGAACTTACCCAGTGGCTGGCAATTATTTTTGAGATCTTATGAAGGAAGAAAAAGTAAAGAAAGATGGAAAGATAATGAAGTAGATAACAACAACAACAAAACCGACCAAGGCAAGCTTAATTTAATTCCTAACACAATTGCCCCCCCTACACAAGCACAGACATAAGTTTAAAAAGTATAAACACATACTCAGATGTAGAAAACAAGGTTCATTCGCTCGAGACAGGGTTCGCTGCTTGTGTTTGCCCTTATTAAACCCAAGTACACACAATGCAGCATTTTCAGGGTGTAGGCAGAGGGGCAGCCGGCCGCCTTGGTGTGAAATCCCCATGCTTCTGCACCCACAGCCTCGGGCTTCTCTGGGACATTCTCTACCTCTGCTTGTCTGCAAAGTTTTGCTAAGATAGGTGGCTGCCTCGTTTGTGAGTCTGGCCCAGGGAGACATGGATCTTGGCATCACCACATTCCATATACGGTGACTGCTATGGTTCCGAGGTTTATGATGAATGTCACATTTGGATTCATTCTGTGCCTTGAACTCAGCTCCCTCTGGATGAAACGGTAAGAGGTAAAGAGGCAATAATCTTAGAGAAGTCTTCGCAATGCACACGGGGACCAAGGAAATCAACCTCTGAAAGGAAACTTCTTCCACACCAGAGATGGCCAAGTCTGGTGCTGAACTGCTTGGAACGGACTTCCCTCAGTGTTGTTGGCTCTCAGGGTTCCCGAATGATGCCTGTTGTGCCCAACAAGGAGCCGGCACCAATGCAAGTACAAAAGGGTCTTTATTACAAGCTCGAGCAGGGGCTCACCAGCCTACCGGTGTCACGGCAGCAAGGTGAAGCGAAGAACAATAGCGAACAGGGTTTTTAAGGAGTAAGGGATGGGGGTGTTACAGTACATGTAGCATCATCACATAAGCACCAATTACAATTACGCTTTGACCATTCAGTATCTGTGAGGTGTTCATTACTTTTGGTGGGACCCAATCATGACTTTTGAGAATCCTTTGAAAATGACCAATTGTGAAGTGGGTTCAAAGGGCCCATGTGGGGTTCAGACAAGTGGTGAGAAATTGGCTAGTTTGTATCTGCAGTTCCCAGCCTTGACTCAGACCATAGGAATGTTTCTTTTTACTTTTTGATTAGCTGAACTGAGGGCGGTCTGAGGATGGCTTTAGCCTTACACAGTCTGAGGCTTTTCCTGGGACTGGGACTGGGGCTACGTGCAGCCCGAGGTTGCTCTTAATGGAGGACTTAATTTTTGGCTCTTCATGCCCAACCAGAGGCCTTGGATGGCGATCCCTGGAGAGAATGGCTACACACCAAAGGCCATACAGAGCAGCCAGGAGGAATGTACCCCCACACGAGGCAAGGGAAACCCACCTGAGGGATCCCCAGGACGAAGGCTATGAAAGCAGCAAGAGTCTGAAAACTGGAAGGGAGAGTGGAGAGCAACTGACAGGCGATCTAGGAGACAGAAAAAAAGATATGGGGGCTGAGGAGGGGCATAAAATGTCACTATTTATCCACCATCTTTCATTGGAGCATTTCCAAACAGCTCTTTCATCCTCCCAAAGGAGGATGCTGATTTGAAGGGTTCCCTGGGGAGCAAGAAATAAACCAAGACTCTTGGTCGGGTCCCCTCTCTTCCTGTCCACCCTTTGTTGTGAAATGGCCCAGCCTACGGCAAGTGAAGAGTAAACAGGCTGCTAAAACAAGCCTCCATAATACGAACCAAGAGCCTTCAAATGGACTCTTTCCAAGTTGGGCTCTTTCTTGGTTCACTTGACTCCTAAAAATATATACCAAGAAAAAAATTATTTTGAAAGACGATAACCAAGGTTTGTGCACACTTTCCAGTAATATTATTTATAATAGTAAATAATTATTAATAAATGTTCAATTATGGGGGATTTGGCTACGTGCTGAAGATACATGCCTAAAATGGAATTATTACTTAAATGATATCTGTAAAAACATGGAAATAATCTTTTACTTAATTTTTTAAAGATTGTATTTATCAATTTATTTAAAATATTTTTAAGAGACCATCTTTCCATGTAGTATATATATATTTTAAAAACTTTAATGTTTATTTTTGAGAGAGAGAGAGACAGAGTGTGAGGGGGGAGGGGCAGAGAGAGGGAAACAGAATCAGAAGCAGGCTCCAGGCTCTGTGCTGTCAGTGCAGAACCCGACATGGGGCTTGAATTCACAAACTGCGAGATCACAACCTGTGTCATGAGCTGAAGTCAGACACTTAACCGACTGAGCCACCCAGGCATCCCTAAAGAATTTATTTTTAAGAAATCTCTATACCCAGCATGGGGCTTGAACTCACGAGCCCCCGAGATCAAGGGTTGCATCCTCCACCTACTCAGCCAGGTGGCCCTCTCTTACTGTACCATGAATATTAAAATGCAGAACACTATGGATCCCAACTGGTGGTGTATGTGAGTTATGTAGATGCGGCAAGGGTAGGGCCGCATGCCTGGGTATTTTGTTTTCACTGGTTTTAAAAGGTAAGTAGAAACTTTCAAATAGAAGTAAAAATCAAGTCTTGCAGCCCAGCTGCCCCTGAGTGAAGAGACAGGGCCACTCCATGTCATGGCGCCTGTGCAGGCAAAACAGGTCTGTAGTATCACGCGGTAATGTGTAGTGGCTATTTCTGGGTGGTAGGATTACAGCCAAGGCTTGCTTTTCCCTTCTGCTTTTCTGTAATATGTTGCTAATGTAAAATCATCTCAGACAAGAAACCAGTCTTCTGTCCTCTGTCCTGAGGGGAGGGGCCCCTACCCGCAGGCCTGGGCTGCAGGACGCTGCCGAGCCCCGCTGTGACCAGCTTCCCGCCTTGCTGTCACGGTGAGGTCTTTAAGCTCTGTGGCTCTGAGTGTCGTGCGTGAAGTAGTCAGCTGGGCAAAAAGAAAATAAGCAAACTCCACACAAAAGGGAGGAATGCTTCAGTCAACACTGAAAAAGGGCCCTGGATTGAAACTCTTGATAACTGTTCTCACCTCATTTGAAAATCAGCATTAGCTACCAAAATGTAAAGTATTAGTTTTATTAAAATGCAAATCAATCAACTAATCTGTCTTTCTAGTAACAGTTGAATTGCAGTATCCGTGTCAATTAAAATAGTTTCCAATTTATTCTTGGCTGGAAGGAGGGTGGTCTTCTGAATTTTAAAATGCAAGCCTCTCTTAACTGAAAATTCTGTTCTTTCTCATCTCTCCTGATTTTAATTCATTTTAATTAAGCACATTGGGCTCCGAATATTTTGAAGTCCCTGTTTAAATCTTTTCCTTCATCAGGTCAAGAGTGACTGAGACAAAGATTCCATCTCTTCAGGAAATGGAGGTTAGCGTCCGGCTCACCGGAAGCATGGTACTTGGAGGTCACTTAGTGCTGTTCTGACGTGCGTGATCTGGACTCCTCAGGCTAGAGGGACTGGGTTGGATGTTCTCTATTTTAAAAAGTGGTCATTTTGAAGGGAGTAAATGTGGGGGAACTCTATTCCTGTTGATTGATCTTTTGGGTAACTGGAGACACACAGAAAATGAAACATTTCCCTGACAGTCAAGCCCAAGAGGTAACCAGTAGACAAGAGAAACAAATCACTGTGTACCAAGGTCCAATTAACATGTGATGGGGAGACCCTCCTCCCCGCCATCTGCCCCATCCTGAGCTCAGCAGGCACTCTGATGTGGACACTAAACTGTGATACAGGTTGCATGCAGGACCCACTGCATTTGGAGCCCAGCCTCTAGACGCCGCACATGCGTGGTCCCGACACCGTGGCGGTGATAACGTGGGATTCCCAGGCACCGAAATTGGTTGCCCGCTCTTGACATTTCAAAAGTTATCAAAACCTGATGTTAACAATAGAGACTGCTCCCACACTATAACTGAACGCCCGCTTCTTCTCAATTCTGTAGCACGACATGAAGACGCGGGCAGCAGCACCGGGAGGCGGTCATCGCGGGTGGCAGTGCGCACACATTACTTATGCAAGATAATCTTCATTGCATATTGACCACAGCATGCCAATAAATCCCCCTTATGGGGATTTAATTTCCAGCTTTTGACCTCTGGATGAAAAACAAGTGAATCATTTCCTCCTGCTAGATTTACACCAGAGCTTATCTCAATAAAGTGACTTATGAATGGGGAGAGTGGAAAAGGGCTCTGGAAGAATCTTTATGGGTAAAGAGAGGAAACAAAAAAAGAAGGTGGGGATTTGTATTTGCAACAAATAAGCAAATATCTCCACATTACAGAGTCTCGTGGGCATAATTCAATGGTTTTTGGGGATTCCCTGCTCCTCGGAGCCATGATCAATCACCAAATGTTATCCACCTAGAAAGCAGCATTCTAGCCCAGAATTTTTGCTTGTGAGATTTCATATTGCGAAAGGAGGCCATCTGAGTAGAAAAAAGGTGAAAACCCTCCCAACAAACCCGTCAGCCCTCTAGAGCCCTCAACCAGATTTACTCTGCTGCTTAAGAAACCACACATGGCAGCAGTGGCAGTGGCAATGCTCTTTATTTGTGACGGTTAAAGGGTACGGGGCCTGGGTCCTCGGCAGACTGGGGCAGGAGAGACAGGACACTTGGTTCCAGGTTTCCTGGGACTTAGCAGGCACGTGCTCTGCACGCACCCCTTCCCGGGACTTCCCAACGAGCTGGACCCCGCTGGAGGGCTGCTTCCTCCATTCGGGGCCAGAGGAGGAGCCACCCTGGCCAAGGCGTTCGTGGTGTGTTCAGAGGTCCTGCCTCAGGCACGCAGCGACAGAGATGGGTGCTGTCAGTCCTGCTGGCCTTTGTCAGGAGGGTGGAGCTGCCCAAACAGAGATCGATACAACTCTGTCCTAGAAGACAGACAAAACACACAGGTTAGCTTTTCAAGGTTAAATGAGAACTAAGAAGCTGGAAAACGCCCCAATCGGTTTCTTCAATTGCAAACACAACAAACACAGCCGTGGAATTAAAAATGCATCCCACAGCCCTTACCCACAAATACAAAGGAAGGAAGAACCTAGAAGCAGCGATCAAATAGTAAAATATGTAAATAGTCCGGTGTGGCTAGATACCTGTCTCCAGGGAATGAGTTTTCTATAAGTTTGCCCTTTACAGACAGGCTCTTCAAGTAAGAAAACAAGATTGAATATTTTAATAGGATGTATGAGACTGCCGCACGACGAGGAGGATTCAATCAGACATGGGATGTAGGTGGATATGATTTAGTTTTCATACATTTTCTTGGACTTGGCAGTACTTGAAAAACAATGAAAATGACCCAGCAACAAGATTCCAATTACTATCACACGTGCAGCTGTTTGGTGGTAGAAGCAAGGCTCTTCCCCACTCCCCTGGCCCCTATGATCTATTTTCAATCTAATAAATAATTCGATTGGCTCATTTATTTCTAGAGCTGGGCTTCGAAATTTAGAAAATGATAGTATCCCAGGGTCTTGGGTCCCTGAAAATAAAAGTATTACTCCCAACCTCTGTCTCTGCTATCAAATGCAACACACATCCAGCCACCTGGCCAAAGTCACGTTTCAAGGCCTGGAAATCTAAAAAGGGGTGGGGTCCCTCCTGCCATTGTCACAGGAGCACCAGCACACTTTCCCCTGTGGACAGAGAGCAGGTTCTCCCTGTGGAGATCTGCGGAGGGTCGAGAGCCACAGAGGGAACGCAGCCAGCTGAGGCAGGTGACCCACAGCTGCACTCCGCGTGAAGGTCTGGCCACTGGAGGGACAGCGGGCACAGGGGGCTGAGGTCCTGCGCCAGTGAGGGAAAGATCCCAGAAGAAAAGCTGTGCCCGCTCTGTTTTACACTTTCAAGATTGGACTGTAAAAGACAGCCAGCCACCATGGCTACGAAAACAGGCTTTTACAAGTGCCCTCATAATCAGAGAGCATCTGCAGCAAATCTGCTTTTCACAGAAAACAAAACACCAAGCACCACCATTCAAACAGCTATTCTGGTTCAGTAAGACTTCGACACGAAAACTTTTAAGTCTGTTTTTGAAGCCATCCTGCTGTGGTTGTGGGCAGGAACAGAGGTAGGATCATTAGAAAATCCAGCAATGGGGCTCCTGGGTGGCTCAGTCAGTTAAAGCAGCCAACTTCAGCTCAGGTCATGATCTTGCGGTCTGTGGGTTCGAGCCCCATGTCGGGCTCTGTGCTGCCACCTCAGAGTCTGGAGCCTGCTTCTGATTCTGTATCTCCCTCTCTCTCTCTGTCTCTCCCTTTTGCTGTTTCTCTCTCTCTCTCTCAAAAATAATGAACATGAAAAAAAATCAGCAACAAAAATAGTATGTTAAAACTTTTAAGGGAGGACAGATCTTAATGAAAGTGCAGTGGCCCAGCGCAGAGCCTAACCCCATCATACTGGGGGCCGCAGGGCAGGCAGAGGTGTGCAGCCTAGGAAACCGCATATCCAGTATCATCACAGGAATCTCACCCTCACCCTGACTGGCCAGCAGCTCTGAGGCCTACAGACAAAGGTTGCAGGTTCACTGGGGGCTCGGTGGTTCCTTTTGTTCCTGTGCTTTGCACACCTGCCTGTTCACCCTGGCCAGCTGAGGAGCACAAGCCTGGAAGGCGCTTCTGATCGGATGCAAATGAGAGGCAGGCAGCCTCACTTCCAAAGGCAGTGGCTTCCGAATCACCAGTTCCGTCACATGAAAGATGCTTCCCCGTATCGCACTGTGGCTGTGGCCTATCTGCCAATAAGCACAAGGCTCTCTTAGCCGTTTCAGCACAAAAAATTCAACGGCATTAAGAGGGGGAGAGGCCACAACAGAAAGGACAGTATGGCTTTAAGCTGCTGAGAGGGACTGCTTTCAGGCCTTGGCAATCACACCCTTTCCCACCTCGCCCCGCTCGCCTGCCCCAGACCCCATCATTTACCGCGCAAAAATGCTTCCACTCGGCACTGCAATCTCGGGGAAGCGCCTGGGCCAAGGCAGCAGTTACTGGCCGCAGTAGGGTTCACATGTCAGGAGCAGAAAGTGAAATACAGAAACCCATGTTTTGATAGAACATCATTTCACACTCAGGTGGACAAAGCTGACAAACATATGCAGCTGTTCGTGGCAAAGCAACTTGGGAAGCTGAGGGGTCTGGGATCTTAAAATAGTTTGAGAGACTAGAGTAAGGGATTATTCCAATCTAAAACCTCTTAGTAATTGCAGCTCTGTGCCTTCCTCACCACCTGCCACCAATCAGGGACCGTCTCTACCCTCAAAGCATCTCAGACTCCCCTGCCCCCCAAGGCCTCCACTAGCCACTGCAGCCTTACCTTCGCTTCCCAAGAATATGGCCTCGAACTGACTGTCCCCGCTCGCTTCTCTGCCCCGCCCTGTTTCTCAGCCCCAGCTGGGTGGCACCACTAGGAAGAAGCCCCCAGGCTTCAACTGCTCTGCTCTACGTGGCCCCAGTGCCCCATCTTTCCTGCAGAGGCTCCATGAGGCAGGACATGCGCCGGGCGGGTTGAGGGACACCACGGCCACTCGGGGGGCGGTCTGGGGCCTGGGCCCCAGAGTTTTATAAAACCACGCAGCCCCCTCACACATTCTTAAGTTGACAAAAAAATTTTCTCAATAAATTTAATAGTCACAAAGGATATAATTTCCAAAACATTGTGAATACTAACTTTTGAAATAGAACTCTTACATTTCTTCTGTAATGCACCCAATGGAATCTATATGCCATACTGACTTGATACCCATCATCATTCATTTAAACAACATATAAACATACTCTTCAACTTGGAAATTTTACAGCATCCTCTCCTTTTTAAACTTGTATTTCCATTTGATTTTTCCCTACAGATTTTTGTCCTAATTGTTTTATGCTTGAAAGTCTTTTATTGATCACCCTATTAATACTTCTTGACCACAAAAAACAAGTACGTAAGTTGAAACACTTTTTGAAATTTCAGAAGTTGAAATGAAAATATTTTAATTTCTTGACACCATAAATCTCCAGGTAATTAAAAAGTATGTCTGGATTGTGTTATTATTACACAATTATTATTAGGATAAAATCGACACATACAACAGTATAATGAAACATAATTCTGATGAACATTTAACACATGTAAACATATAAAATGTTACTGGAGCTGCATGTCCTCACAACAGCCGTGGATGCAGCCATGGTGAACAGCATTTAGGCCAGGACGAAAGAGCGCTCAGCGTCCAGTCCATCCCTGCTTGTTGGTTTTTGCCGACACAAGCGAGGAGAAAAGTCACGTGAACAAGCGGATGGGCATCAGAGAATTTCGTCACAGCAACGTCACCCGATTCTTTTCATTTCTTCTGAATTATATGCCCCCCAAAATCACATAGTGATCTGCCACCCAAAACTGGTTTTAATGATCTGCCAGCTGACAGCTCAATTAGGTTTTCCTACAATTTTGTTGAAAATAGAGGCCTGGAGCCATCTGCCCCACAGGGCCGGTCACCAGGCCTAGTGCCCTCCATTCTCAATCCCATACCAGTGCTGTGAGCCGTGATCTTGCTGGGGGCCTGGAGCGTGCAGGAGCCCACACATCAGAGAGGAGGGGCTCAGGAGAAGCTGTGTATCAGGTGGGGGAGACCATAGCTGCTGCCCAAGCAGCCTCGCTTCGGGAAAATGCACACATTTGGAAAACGATTCCCCAAAATTGCACGTCTACTTTCCCCTTGGGGAGGCTCTTTGCACCCCGGTGTGAAGACTTGGGTGGGGAGCACTGTGCTTCCCCCAGACCAAAACAGGCATGTGATGTGGTGCCGGTGCTGAGGGAAAGGTAAAAGCATCTGAGAAGAAAAGGAATGTGTCCACAATCCTTTCCCCATCCCAAGGAAAACAAAACTAAAAATAAAACTAGGCAATAAAAAGCACCATGGGACAGAGGGTCAGACTGCCTTCTGCTACATGGAACATTTTCCCCTGCAGCATCTTTCCTAGGCGGGATTTAGCCCTTCAGAGAAGCTACACTATCAATCCTTCAGGTTAACCTTGTCTCCATCTGCTTCTCTAGGGTAAGTGTATAGTTTAATACTTGAGGTCCCCTTAAGGCTATGCGTAATGAACTTGGTGTAAAAAAAAACCAACCACATATTTCCTGCTCCCTATCACTTCAAGAATCAACATTTGAATCACTGAGCTGCACTGCCTTCCCCTCTTTGCTCCCTGCCCCTCACACTCGGGGTCTCAGTGGCCAGTGGGAATGTCCACTGTGGAAAATGTATTAATGTTCGTGTCAAGCAGGAGAATAACCCATGGAGTAATTAACAAGACTTGGACCTAAGGTAGAAGGTCGATAGCAGGGGCTCTTCCTTGAATTAAAATTTAACTTACCCTTTATTGCAACCTACAAAAGCAAGTAATGAGCACTAACATTTTTATTTCTTTTAAACTGTCATTTAGGCTGTAGAGGGGATAATTACCTATCTCTAGTGTAGTAAGGTTTTATAACCCTTAGTGAGGCATTTTCTAATTTAATATTTTTACTATATTATCATAAAACCTGTTTCTGGAAAAAAAATGATCATGGATTAGCAGCCATTTTCCATAAAGACAGAATGTGTGTGTGTGTGTGTATTAGGATTCAGCTTATTTATTACAGGATTCTCCTCAAGACACTCAAAGTACCATAGCTGAGCGATCTGTGCAGAGTGATCACTTGTGTGGTGGGCATGCTTCGCAGCGGCCTGCAGCGAAGTGGGGGGCAGCGTGTGTGCGGAAGACTGCAGCCCCAAGGGTGTGCACCCCAGCGTGCTCCCCTCGGTTCCCTGTGTGAACCTCCCACTGCAACACAAAGTCTTTCATGCTGCTGTTTGGGCAATCGGCACGAAGAGGCACGTTAAACCTGCACATGATCTGTGTGGGGCTTTCAATTTGCTAGGTCAGTAGCCTGTAGCACCGGGCTACGGAAGGAATTGTACTGGCTGTGCTCCAGAACACCACACTCCTTCTCCTGTGGCCCGGAAACCCCAAAGCTGCCAAGAACCCCCCCGGGGCCCTACCTGCCTGTTCCTGTCGCCAGAGGCAGGCACTGAGAAGGCAGCAATGCCACCACTCCCTGAAGGAGCCTGCACAGTCCCCCAAGCACAGCGTGTTCCCCGAGCAAGTATTACGGGCGGGAGCTGGAAGCCAGGCTTCCAAATGTGCCAACGGAGACAATATCGGTGCTTTCCTGATTAAAATTATACACGTAATTTGCCCTTGATTAATTTGAAATTGTTCATTTGTTGCTTCATGGCGGGGGTGCGGGGGAGGGTGTCTTCCTAAATATACAAGACTCATCCCAGAATGTGTCCTGGCCCCTCCTCCTTTCTAGCCTCTCCTTCTCTCTGCACCCCGAGGACCCTTGTGCTGCACACAAAAGTGGTGTAGCATTTGCTGCCACTTCACTCTAGCCCTTAGGTAGCCATTTAAGAATAAAAGGGTGATGAAGCACACAAAGAGAGAGAGAGACTAAGGGTTCCAACCAGCAGAATCCTGATCAAATCCGAACCCTCGGGGGTCAGTGTAGGAACAGCCGGAATGGAAATTCACACTGACCAGCAGGGAAAATCAGCCGTGATGTTACTGAAGTCTGCCTTTTTTCACGTTTGTGTTCTGAAAACAGTGTACTCACTTGTGCTGTGGAAGCTTATACACATGATCAGAGGAGGTCCCTGCCTCAAAATATAACACAAACGTGTGATACGCACCTTGCACCCATCTGAATGCCTATGTGAGCTTCATCAGACTTTGTAGGGGAAGACGAGGCCGTGAATGACGACAGCAGAAGCTGAGTTGGGAAGGTGAATGGACCCAGTAAATGTGTCCAGGACATCGGGTCACTCCATCAGGAGAGACATGCGAACGTTCTTCCTCATGCTGAACCCAACTCTGCCGTTCTGTGACTGCCACCTGCGGGCCCCTGACCCTCCCGAGCCAAGAGAGAATCAACGCTGACTGCCCTTCCCTGCGGCAGCATTTCAATTATTTAATGTCTTCTCCTAACTAAGTCTGTTCTTTGCTGGGTGAAAAGAAACAGTTCATTCCTGCTGTGATGAAGCCCGGCATCCTCTCAACAGTAAGGCCCTCAGACCCTCTGAGCCAATTCTGACACACCTGGTGCAGCCTAGTTAGTCCAAAGTGGGCAGAATAGGACTCTATTCCCTCCTCTGTTCTCACACTTCCCCAGCCTTCACGGAGCTCCCACTCTCTTCCAGATATTGACTGAACAATATATCTTGCCAATTATGCCTTGATGCAGACCAGTGGGGTCCTCTTGACCCTCTGAATGCTTTGTGGTCTGCTCCCCAAAACACAAGACACAAAATGGTACCTTCCTTTAATCTTTCATTCCTTCTGCTTCCTCTGACCCAAATCCATCCCACTCTGTATCAGTGACTTTACGGATGAGAGAAAGGTATCTGAGAAATGCTTCTGTGGTTTGACAGGGGAAATATATTGATCCAAATGGCAAGCAATTGCCCTGTGCTCCTTGGGGGCTCTGGCAGAGGGTGAACCCCAGCATGTCACAGAAATGGCATCCGGGGCACAGACAGACACATGCTGGAACTCGTCTCTGAGACTGGACTTTAAGACACACACACAGCCCTTACACGGAGGTGGTGTCATTTTAGTCAGGACAACAGACAGAATCACGACACAAAATCAGGGTCCTGAATGTAGCCCGAAAGGCAGCCCTTAACTCTCTCCTTCATTCTCCTTCCAAAATCCTCCAGCAACAAAAAGCAGTTCACAGCTCCTTTCCTGATCTCATCACAATTCCATCCCCCCCCCCGCCCCCAGACACACACACTGAGGTAAAAAAGAAAGCAGCCTTCTCTTACCTAGGACTTACTTCTTAAGAGGATCAAGTTAGCAAAGTATCAGAGAGGACTCCGAGGAGGCCCACATCCATCACTAATTACCTAAATCTGGAGACCAGGCAAGCCTCTAAGCAGCCGCTCGAATCCACCACAAGGTG